AACCAGTGTCCAGCCATTTCTGCCTTCAGCTCTGTTTGAGCACCACTCTGTTCTTACGCTGACTCTCTCCTGATGCTGCAGGTTTCAGTGCGAGGAGAGCAGGCGGCCTTGGCTGCTCACTACAGTAATCAGCTCCATGTTCTTCCTCCCCTGGGCAGGGGCTCGCCGCTGCAGTCCTGCGGGAGTTTGGGGGCAAGGAGTCTCTTCTGTCTGCTGAGACCCCTGCCAGCCAACCTCCTGTGCCAATTTAGGGAGGAAGGGAGATTTTGGTGTGGGAATAGTCCTGGCTCTGAAGGCCTTGTGCTCTGTTACACGCGTGTTTTTATTTTTTGCCAGAGATATTAACCTGTTTGTGCTCTGGGGAAGGATTGCACGCTTATCAGAGCTGGATTTCTCCAGGCCGAGAGTTCATTGTCACACTTCTCACCCTGTTCTCCTTTGCTCTGGCAGCCCCAACCCCACGGAGGAGTGCAGGGGTTTTGCTCTTCCTTCTGGGAAGGAAAGTGCAGCCTTGCTTCCCTTGCCTCCCGCATGCTGCTCAGTGAATCCAGCTGGCAGAGCCCTTTTCCATTTCGTACAGTGCAGGCCAGACCCCAGCTGCAGTGCTCAGGGTTTGTGTGGGCCAGGAAGGTGCTCATTACCCAGTCCTGACACGTGTTAGGCCTGCAAGAGCTCTGGCTGTGCAGGCTGATGCATTTCCAGCCTCCTGTGCCGGGTAATTAGCCTTGAAACACGGTGGGTGTTAACTCAAGGGACGGGGCTGGTGCCAACAGGGAGAGGCCGTGCCACGGCTCAGCTGTGCTGAGCTGAGCTCCCAGCATTACGGACAGAGCAGCAGAACCCGTCCTGTGTCTCCCTGCTCTTTGCTGGGAGGTGGCATTCTGCTGGTCCTGCTCAGCTTATCTGAGCTGCCGACCTCCTGGGTGTTTTGTGTGGGCCTTTTAACAAGAGCAAGAACTTCAAAAGTTCTCACCAGAAATATTTAAAACCCTTTCTGCCCCTGCCCTCATTAGACAGGTTCAAAGCCAGGTGTGTGTCACTTCTCATACATCCTCTTGCCCTCTGCACTTGCTGCAGTATTAAGTGTTACTGATAGTTAAAGCGAGCTTTGAACTGCGGCACTTTTTAATCAAGCTTCGTTTTCAAGTAGGACTTTCTGGTTTCCATATGACCTGAAGTGCTCCTCCTGGGGGACTGTGCAAGTACCTGGAGCTGAATGAAAACACTCCATGGCTTCTAAAGCAAAGCCCCCCACCTCTCCAGGCTGAGCACTGTGCCTGTGTCCTTGCCAGGCTGCAGGGGGAGGATGTGAGGGACCTGTTTCCTTCAGCTTATCCTGAGCAGGCACTGGCAGCCCTTGCTAGTGAATTTAAACATCCCCTAGCGTTCCAGGGAAGCTGATGTGGCATCTTTGGTGCCAGATGAGCAAGATGCTCTGCAGGTGGCTGGTGTCTCATTTAGGAAGAGTGGCAGTAGCTGTGCAGCACAGAGAGTAAATTCAGTGGGCAGTTGAGCTGGGGGTTTGTGTGAGGCGTGGGGCAGACAGCTGCTCCCTCCCCTGTCTGCATGGCAGGGGGATGGCTGGTGCTGTGCTGGGGCATGCTGGGCCGTCCTGTCCTCTTGCAGCAGCTGTGAGCCTGGCAGAGCCAAAGGAGAAATTTGATGCTAATGAAAGCAGCCTTCAGAAGGCTGGAAGAGCTGCAGGGGCTGCTCTTCTATCAAGTGCACAGGTGTGGCTTCATGAGGAGGCCGCTGTATTTCCTACTGCACGGCCTGCCCTTGTGCAAGGCACTCAGCTCAGCCTCGTCCCTCCAAGGGCTGATTTGAATTTCTTGTCTCCACACTGCGTTGCCCACCAGAGAACCTTACTGACTGACGTTACTCTGCCCCACACATCCTCCCTTCCCCACTCAGGGCCGCCCTCCAACTGGCCTGGGCTGAGGCTGCCCAGCCCCTCCGCTCGCCGCATCCTCTCTGCGCTCCCCTCCTGCCCCCTGGGGCCGCCACTGCCTGTGCCAAAGCACAGCTGCTCCTGGGCCCCGCTGTGAGCCCCACCTCTTCCAAGGACCGGCCGTCTCCTTTGCTGGTCTAGCTCTGAAGCTGTGCCTTCTCTTGCTGGCCGTGGTGAGCAGCCCTCCCTGGGCACGCTGGGGCTGCTGGGCCTGGCGGTGGGCCGTGCCGTGGCACCCAGACAATCAGAAGAGCTGTGGTCCCCGAGGAGCATGGGAGCTTTTAGAAATAAATCAGCCCAAATTCCCGAACACCTGCTGTCTGGAGCAGCAAAACAAACCTGTCCCGAGAACTGGAGTGATTGAGGGAACTCCGATGGTGAGAGCGTTTTTCACACAGAACATGACAGCAATGCCTTAAAAGTGATGGGAGGGAATGGGAAGGGGTGCTGAGCAGAGCAGGGTGCTGCGGGCTGTCGGACCCCCCTCAGCCGGCGGATCCATCGTCGTTGGGCTGCCATGCAGACATGTCACAGGTTCTCTGTGGTGCTCGGCCCGAAAGCAGTCCGTTTTCAATAAAAAGGGATTCAAACAACAACAACCTGCACGCCTCTGTTCTGCCTGCCCTGCGCTCCCCGTCGCACAGCGCATCCTGCAGGGAGCTCAGGGACGGGGCAGAGGCCCTCAGTGCTGCTGCTCCATCACTGCTGCTGCCAGCTCCATTAACACAGCTGCACTTTCCCCTTCTCAATTATACCTCTTCACACTTAAAACCAAACAAATTGAATTGCTCCGCTGCCTCGGGCTGCAAAAGCCGTTTCTGCCAACAAATTTATTGTCGCCGTAAAGCGCAGCTTGATTTATGTTAAAATATTAAAACAGATCTTTATGATGGAAATAAACACTTTGCTGCGATTCTCTCCGAGGACCTCACAGGCAGTGCGGGATGTGGGGCTTTGGGCAGTAAATCTGGAGGCCAAAGTGGCAGCGAGGACGGGTTCAGTCTTTGGCGACGCTTTGCAAAGGGACGACTGGAGGAGGGGAGAGGAAAACCTGCATCCCGCGAGGCAGGGCGAGCTCTGCCGCCCCACAGCCGCTATTCCCACCAGAACCCACCTGGGATGAAAGGTGCGATGGGGGCAGCGGTGGGGACGGCCGTGGGGCAGCGGCGCATCCCCTGGGGGGCACACAGAGCACAGCCTGGGCAGCAGAGCCGGCTGAGTTACAGAATGACTGATTGCAGCACTGCCAAGAAATCAGTGCTCAGAAGCCGCCGAGCGCTGAACCACCAGCACGGGCACAGCCCTGAGCCCCAGCACCACGGCTGCTTCTGCCAGCGCCCCACATCAGCGCTGCAGCCACAGGGAATGGAGTTAAAACGAGCCGTTCCACATCCCAGTCACTGTATAAATCAGCAGCGCAGCTCTGGGGCCGTGCTCAGCCCACGGGCGCCCATCCCCAGTGCCACCTCCTGCAGGACCCCGTGCCACCCACTGCCACCTCATCCCTCCCTGCCCTCCACCTCCCCCAGTGAAGTCCTTCAATAAAACACGAGGGAAATGCATTTGGCCTCTGCTGAGTCACCAGGGATATAACTAATTAATTGAAAACATGGGCTGGGGAGGTTTCTCTTTTGTCCTTACTGCCCCCACACCCAGCCTGGCCCTGGGCACTGCTGAGCCTGGGCAGAGTTACCACACCACGCGTGCCATGGTGTCTTTGGGCCACAAAGCCACCGTGTGGGGAAAACTTCCCAGGACACCGACGGTGACAGCCTGTCCCCATGGGCACCCATCGGCCAGAGCTGCCCCTTGCAGCCAGCCCCTTGCAGACAGCCCAGCTCGCTCCCCACCCCTCCATCCAGCACCATGGGTTCATTTATCCATCCCTTCCACTCCCCATCGCCACTGCTCTCCCTCTCCGGGAGGCCCTCGGAGGGGCTGCCAAAGCAATTAAGTGACAATTGCGATGATAAATAAGTCACGGGAATTAAAACGCTGGCACGTGATGGCAGCCAGGCTGGGGGCGGATGCAGAGACAGTGGCTGGACGTAACCCAGGCCAGATGGATGGATGGACAAACAGATGGATGGATGGACAGGCCGTGCCAGCATGTTCGTCCTTGGGCAGTGAGCGTCCAGCTCTCCCCAGGGCTTTGCTGCTCTCCCCATGGTGCCAACCCAGCCTTGAGCTGGGACAGGAAAGGGACTGCGAGCCCAGGAGGGCTGTGGGGCGATGGCACAGCATAACAGCAGCAGGACCAGCACAGCGAGGCGTTATTACAAAAAGGAAAACGCTCACCCATCTCCGAAGATACAGGCTCACAGAAGAGGGATCTGCAGCAAGAGACCCCTCCCCAGTGGCAGTCAGCCCTTAAATGAGGACTGAGAGGTGCGGCTCCACCCCTTCCCAGCACACGGGTGAATCGCCTCCACCTGTGCTCAGGGCTGAGCGGGTCTCTTCTTCCAGGCGCTCAATCAGCGCTTCAGGCTGTGACTCAGCAGTTCCCACACAGGAGATGAGCTGCAGCCAGCAGGTTGCACTGAGCTCCGTCCGTTTCCCCCACATCCTGCACTGCATTTGCTCTCCCATCTCGCTCTCGGCTCATCATACCGGGGCAGCCAGGCACAGGGACGTGAGCAGGGATGGGGCTCAGGGCCACGGGCATCGCTGCGGCTGAGGGGACAAAGCCAAGGGCAGCAAGGGGCTCAGCAGCAGCACTGGAAGAAGGGTCCCCAGCCAGTTCAAAACGTCTCTTTAATGACCTGGACGGGACGCTTGGAGTCCCTCGATGAAATCAAGACAGAAACATGGTGACAATGAGTTCAGTGTCCCCACGTCCCCAGCCAGCCCTGCCTGCGGGGAGAGCCCAGTCCAGCCTCGAGGAGGCTCCTTTGGCCTCCAAAGTGAGCAGACCTGGTTTGGCGCATCCCACTGTCGGCGATGGAGGACGCTCCAGGAGGAAAGCAGGGCGAAGGGCTCGTGGCTTCTCTCCACCCAGGCGGGAGGCGAGCAGGGAGCAGCACATCTCTCGGAGCCGCCCGTGCCCCCATCAGACCTCGGACTCCAGGCTGGAGACCCGCCGCCAGGACCCGCCGGCACAGGGACTCGTCACCCCGCGGGCCGCCAACCACTCCGCGCCCACCGCGCGCGGCCAGCCCGGCTCCCCCCGCCGTCCCCAGTCTCTGTGGGCTCCGTCCCAGCGCCCCGGCCCCCGGCCGCCCCCCGGCACCTCGGGGTGCTCGCGGGACGAACGGCCCAGGCAGAGGGGCGGGTGGGCGAAGGAGTCCGCGCAGGCGTAGGGCGCGCACGCGGTGCCGCGGGGCTTCTGCCGGCACGCTTCTCGGTAAGACGGCAGCCGGGCCAGAGGGGAGCGTGGCGCCCGGCCCGGCCCGGCCAGCCGCCCGGCGGCCTCGGGGCAGCGCAGACCGCAGCCTTGGGCGGCCTCGGCTTCGGGGAAGAGGTCGGGGACGTCGCCGCGGGCAGCGGGTGGGCGCGCCCCGCACCGCCGCAGCCCCGCACCGCGACGCTTCTCTCCCCGCTCCCGCGACGCTCGGTCCGCGCTCGCCCGCCGGCTCGGCTGCTCCCGCTCTGCGGCGGCTCTGCAAGTCCTGGCGGCTTTGGGGAAGGAACCGCGGGCGCAGGCGAGGGGAAGGGACGCGTTCCCCCCCTCCCTTCTCGCCTCCGAAGCCGGGAGCGGCCGCGGCGCCGTCCCCGCCCCGTCGCCGCAGAGCAGCGGGGCGGTGGGCGGCCGCTCCGCCCGCCTGTGCTCCCGGTAGATGTCCGGCGGCGGGAGCTCCCTGGGAGGCGTCGGGGCGGCAACGGGAGCGCCGATATGGTTCCCCATCAGCGCGTGCTCCTCGAAATCCCCGTCCGGCGCCGCCTTCGCCGGGAGGTGCGGGAAGGGCCCCGGGGGGACTGTGTCCGCCGCACCGCCGCCCTGAAGCTTCACGGGGTGAAGGACGCGGGCGGTGCGCTCGCTCGGCCCTCTCCATCTCTCCTCCCGGGAGTCCACGAGGATGGGCAGAGGCAGCCCCCGGGGCGGCCCTTTGGGCGCGTAGACTCTGCGCAGCCTCTCGGGGTGCGGGAGGCCGCAGGAGGGACCCCGATGCGTGCCGGTGCTGTTCTGCACCACGAGCTGCGGCGTCCTGAGCGAGAAGGTGGTCTGGAGGTGCTCGCTGCGGCTGCTCCAGTCCTCGATGGTTCGCGTGGCGTGCTCCAGCGAGCCGCCCACGCTGGCCGTCGACACCATGTCCTTGGCCGCCTGCAGCATCTTCAGCACGTTGGCTTGGGCTGAGCTCGCCGTCACGTCGGGCGTGGGCGCCCGCCTGGGGCTGCCCAAGGTCTGCACCCCGCTGAAGCAGCTGTAAATGCCCTGCGGAGACAGCGGGGAGACCGCGCCGTCAGCAGGACCGCATACACAGAACTGCATACGGCCCCACCGTGAGCCGACGCTGCAGGAGGGGTGGGAAGAGCCAGGAGTTGGCGTCGATCAATCGCAAGCTCAACTTGGACCCACAAAGCCCCATCCCCACCGTGGGGCAGTTCCTGTCCCCTGGCAACTCCCCGCCGCACAAAGCCAGCAGCGACCGGTGCCCAAGGCTGTCCCCTCCCGGCGCCCCGCGGCGCGGCACAGACCCTGCTGATGGCCAGGAGGAAGTCGAACTTGTGGGACTTGGGAACGCTGTGCCGCAGCTTCCAGTAGACGAGGTGCTCCCAGGCGAAGACCAGCAGGCTGAGCCCCATGGCCACCAGCAGCATGTAGAAGACTCCAGCCATGTTGTCAATATCCAGCTTGCTGCTCATCACTTCGTTCTTCTCGTTCTGACAGATCCCCGACAGCCACACCGTCTCCAGCTTTTGGGTCTCACCTGGGACCAGGCACACACAGGGATGGGGTAAAAGCCTACCATGGGCATCACACCCCCTAGCACAGCCCCTGCCTGCCCTGACCCCACCACGCTGGTGGAAGAGGATAAAATCCACCCAGACCCCAGAGCTGCTATGATAGAATTAGTGTGAGTTGGGGTGGGTGGGACCTTAAAGATCACTGGCTCAGCCCTCACCACTGAGCATCCCTCGTGTTGCTCATCCATCTCCAGGCCCTCTCCCACCTCATCCCTCCCAACCTATCTCCTATTCCCAGCTCTACCCCCCGGCCCTCAGATCTTGCACATGGCCTCCTCTGAAATTTTCTCAGATTTTGCATATGGGATTTTGCAGCCCTCAAGAAGAGCAGAGACCAGATTGGGAATAACCCCATCCTGTGGCTGGAGAGGTGCTGATGGGCTTGAACATCACCTTGAAGGAGCAGCACGACTTCCCCAAGGACCCCTTAAGGCTACCCTACAATGATCCATGGATCAGGGGCTCTGGGCACGCACCATCTCCCAGGAATTGCAGCAGGGCCAGGTCAATGGCCCGCTTCCAGCGTGAGTCCTTCTGCAGGGCGATGCCGTAGCCCGTGGTGGCAAACACCTTCCCGCTGCCAATGGTCACCAGCTTGCAGCCCTCGTCTTTGCCCGCCATGTAGTTGAGCACCGCTGCATCATAGATGAAGGCATCCAGCTTCCTGCCCACCACCGAGAGGGCTGGGTGAGGGGGGGCTCCTCGGGCTGGGGGCAGATCCCTTTCTGGGGAGCTGTGCCCCTCTCAGTTGGCCGCATCCCAGGGCGATACCCTTTGGAGGATCTCAGCCTCATCTTGGAGAGTCACAAGCCCATCCAGGGGAGAGGAACCCAATCTGGGGGGCATACGTCCCACCCGGGGCAGCTGTAGGAAGCTCTAACCCGACTAGGAAAGCCCACCACCATACCACCCCAAAGTACCCTCCAGGTGAGCTGTGCCCGAACTGGGGAAGCTGCAGCTCACTTGAGGGGGCTGCACCCCAGCCGAGGAATCCATACCCCACCTGGGGAGCACTGGATCCCGTCTCAAGGAGTCATATAGGGCCGTACTTCGTTTTGGGGGCCCACACCCTGTCCAGGAGAACCATACCCCATCTTGAGGCTGGTGAGGGCATCCTCCACAGAGCGCTGGTTGTACTTCACCATGTGGGTGTGCATGTCGGGGTAGTTGCTGCGGATGTTCCTCTCGGTGCTGCCGTTGGGGACGGTGCCGAAGCGGAACGGGGGGTATTGCTCCTGCGGCCTCTGGAACTGCAGCGGGGAGCCCCGGGTGGCAGCGTCACGGGGAGGCCACATCCCTGCTGTGTCCCCAGCATCTCCCCCAGCCAACTCTGTCCTCCCATGCACGTGCAGCCATGCAGCCCCTCAAGGGCTCCCCACCTGGATAACCTTAATTTTGGAGGGGAGGGAGAAGAGCCCAACCTGCACCTCACCTTCCTGTCGCTCAGCCCTGACACGGTGTCGATGTACTGCTCCTGGATCATGAAGGCCGCCAGGTTGGCGGTGTAGCTGGCGAGGAAGATGACGGCAAAGAAGGCCCAGATGAGCACCATGATCTTGCTGGTGGTGCCCTTGGGGTTCTCGATGGGCACGGAATTGTTGAAGACCAGAGCCCACAGCAGCCACACCGATTTGCCGATGGTGAAGGTGGGACCTCCTGGCCCTGGGGGGGACGGGGCAGAAGGACAGGTGTCAGCAGAGGCTGTGTCCCCTCCCAGCTCCCACCTCTCCCCACTCACTTTTGCCACTGGTGAGGTTCTGGTTGTAACCAACAGGGCTGAAATACTCGAACACAAAGACAGTGACGGCCACCACGGTCAGACACATCACAAACATCATCACCCACACGGCTGGGCTGTAGGGCTCTGCAAGGTGAGAGGGATCCGTCAGATCAGCCTGACACCCCGAATCCCTTCACGTTTCCCATGCGGTCGCGGGTCGCTCCTGGTGGCGGCCCTGGCCATGACAGCAAGACTCTTTTCTGTGCAAATCGCCCCCGGCAGGGATGGGGCTCATCAGCAGGGAGGTGCGGTGGTGGCACCACAGGATGCAGCCCCGGCCCTGCTGAGCAGGACAGGCTGCCCTGTGCATCCCAGGGCCATGGAGCTGGTGAAGGTGACCCCACACCTCCATCCCTCATGCAAAATACGATGAGGTAAAAACAATAATAATGGGATTACTTAGGGAGGAGACAGCCCTGATGGCGGCAGCTCAGCCTCCTTCCCCGGTGAATTGCAAACTGGATTTTTTTTACGTTATTAAAACCAAGCGCTATTTCCAACCTGCTCTTGCAGACTGGGCTGAGCCCACCTGCACTCACCCAGGAAGGCAGAGGGTGAGACAGTGCCGTTGCTCCTGGCCACCATCACACTGATTCCAGTCTCCACGAAGGGCACAGAGAAGTCCACGATCTCGGAGCGCTCCTCATTGATGGTGAGGGATCCGATGGCCATGTCCGCACGCTTGTAATACACCTGGGGAGGGCGGGTGGCCTCAGGACAGGCAGAGGAAGAGGAGGAGAGCCAAAGGCACCGGGTCACAGAACCATGGAATGGTTGGGTTGGGAGGGACCTCACAGCTCACAGCGCCACCCCTGCTGTGCGCTGCCCCCCAGCTCAGGTGGCCCTAGGCCAATCCACAGCCTTGGGCACATCCAGGGACGGGGCACCTTGCTGCCTTCCTAGTAAAGAATTTCCTCCTAACATCTAATCTAAATCTTCTGTTAGTTTAAAACATTTCCCCCTTGCCCTGTCACCATCAGGCCACCTAAAATCGCAGAATGTCACTCTCCATCTTTTTTATAAGCTCCCTTTAAGCACGGAAAGCAGTGAGGTCTCCCTGCAACCTCCTCTTCTCCAGGCCAGATGACCCCACCTCCCTCAGCCCTTCCTGTGGGGATCACAGAACCGGAGGTTGGAAATCCCACTGGTCACCAAATCCGCCCCCACTGCCCACATCCCTCGGTGCCACATCCCTGCGGTTCTGAACGCCCCCGGGGGGCTTCCCTGCTCCCCACTGCGTCCCCACTCTTTGGGAGCTGTTCCTCCTCATTCCCCACCCGAGGCAGGACAGCTGCCAGGCCCTACCTCACCAATCATGCCGTTCCACACCCCGCGCACGATCTTGCCGTGCTTGCCATTGGTCACCAGGTAGAGGTCGTAGGAGAACTTCACCGTCTTGGCCAACTTCTTCAGGATGTCGATGCAGAAGCCTTTGCAGCACAGCTTGGTGTAGGGGTCTGCGAGGCCATCACTGCTGAGACCACGCCGAGAAAAATGGGTCAGGGTTCTGCAGAGGAGGCACAGCCCTGAGCTGCCCCTGTGCTCAACACTGTGCGCACGCCAGCAGTGTGAGCGAGGTAGGCTTTGTCCTCTGCAGAGGAGGATGTCCTCTGGGAGGGATGGGAAGGGAAAGGGGAGTGGGAAAAAGGGGAGAAGGGGGAAAGGAAACTAAAGGGAAAAGGGAAAGCGAAGCAGAAGGACTCGCCGATGGGCTCCCAAAGCCCCAGTGGATGAGGGCTGAGCCTTTCCCAGCACCGCTCCAGCCAGCAGGCTGCACGGACCTCTCCTGCTCTGTCTGCAGCCCCATCTCAGCAGCTCCAGCCGTGCCTGGGGCACACAGGGCGCAGTGCTGCTCACCTGGCCGAGGCGTTGGTCTGCTTGCGGCAGGGCACGGTGTTGCGCACGCAGACGCCGGTGCTGGGGTCGGTGTTCTCCACGATGACGAAGGGCCGCTCCTCCAGCGTGGCCACCGTCAGGTGCCGGTTGTCCACCACGGGCTGCAGGAAGGAGCCGTAGCGGGGCCACACCGGGTACTTCATGTGGATGATGCCGTGCTCCCACTTCCCCACCTGCCCCCAGGGAGGAGAGCGCACCGTCACCGCCGTACGGGGGACCCAGAGCGCCGTTGGGCTGCGATCAGCGCAGTGGGCGCTGCCCCGCTCCCACCACCCACACACGCATGCATGCTTTCCCCCAGTGATGACAGGCTGAGGTTTTCTCTCTTCCCGGGGCTGTGTGCACAGAGGTAGCCATTTTTCACTCGAAATGTTTTTAAACTGGAGAAAGCACCTCCAGATGGCTTATTTCAGGTCTGTGCCTGCGTGGCCAGAAGCATCAGGCACAGCCTGGAGTGGGGCTGGCAGAGGAGCAAGGGATGAAGCAGCTGTAGGGTGGGGAAGTGCGCACTGAGGTGTGCAGTGCTGCACAGGCAGGACTGAGGATGAGGGAGATGCAACTGTGGGGGGGAAATGCCACAGCCACCAAGCCAAGGGTGCTGCTGGCGTGCATGGGGGCCCCGCAGGGTCCCAAGTTGGCAGGGACAACACCAACGTGTTGGTGTCAGCTGTAGGGCTCGTGTGGCTCATGCTGCTCCCGGGGCTCCTACCATCTCCCAGAGCCGGTGTTGGTTGAGCGAGATCACCACCATGGTGGGCCTGACCAGGTAACCACCCTCGTTGAAGGAGAAGTCCCTGTGCTCCCACGTCACGTTGAGGAGGTGCCTGGGGGGCACAGCATCCAGTGAGCGCAAGCCCTGCGTGTGCCCAGCTGCCCTGCCTCCAGCCAGGGTCCCAGGTCCCCAGAGAGACGCAGGATGGGAAGAGGAGCCCCGACTTAGCCCCTGTGCAGCAGGGAGCTGAGGCAGCCCTCCTTGCAACAAGGTGCTGAGAATGGACCACTGCAGGTGAGGATGGGCAGAAGCACAGATGCTGCCACAGCAGCACCGAGATGCCACATTTGCAGCATGAAGAAGCCCTCAAAGAGTTTTAAATCCCCTCCTAGGTCCCCCATGGACAAGGCAAGGGACTTTCCAAAATGCTTGAGAAGAAGCCAAGCCAAGAGGCTCCAGCTGCAAGCATCCTCTCCCTGCACCCCTCCTCCATTTCCCCATTCCCCAACGCAATGCACGCCAGCGGCTCCCCAGACCTCACCGGTAGAAGCTGGCGTTGGCAGCAGCAGCGGGCGCCCGACAGTCCCGTCCCACATCCGGGAGGAAGCCGTGGGCTCGGAAGAAGCTGGCTGCCCCCATGGCAATGATGGCCACCCCGTCCCGCACCTTCTGCCGCAGACTCAGCTTCCAGCTCTCTGTCACCACGCTGATGAGGCCGACGGGGAAGGAGGTGGGCGGCAGCTCCATGTTGCCCACCGTGAGGCTGGGCACGATCCAGATGTAGCCCGGCCCCACCAGCCCGGCTTGTCCAGCCATCTCAAAGAGGAACTCAGCCTCGTCCCGTGAGCAGTAGACCAGGAGCACCTGGGCATCAAGCTGCCGCAGGAGCCGCTGCGTCCTGGAGCTGCTCCGCTCCTGGCTCATCTCGAAGGTGAGCACATCCTGCAGCTCCCAGCCGAAGTAGCTGGCATCAGTGAAGGAGCGAATGAGCTCCAGGAAGATGTTGTAGCCCGGGTAGAGGCTGGTGATGACGGCAAAGGAGCTCCAGTCGTATTCCTCCAGCACCTTGAAGATCACCTGGATCTGCTGCTCGATGGAGACGCCCAGCTGCAGGAAGGCTGAGCTGGGCTCCTGTGGGGGAAGGAGGGCTCAGGGGCTGGTTGTCCCCATGGCACGAGGCTCCCTGCATCCCTGCAGCTGACTGGGAAATCACCAACACACCACGAGCTGCTGCGGTCTGTGCTCTGGAGACACCCAACCCTATGGGTTCAGCCCCATAGTTTCCGCAGAGCCGTGGGCATCCCATGGCACAGGGTTGAGGTCTCTCACCTTGTTGACCAAAACCCACGCAGCAGTGCTGACAGAGGACCGGTCGCTTCCCGCATGGTGCTGGGAGCAGCTCCTGCACCGCTACCTGCTGCCGGCTCCATCGCCTGCCCCACCTCCCCGGCCATCTGGCCTCTCATTAGCAAATCTTAATTGATTTGATTCTGTCTTAAATGATGCAGCGAATGGCATTTTCAGAAGGTCGCAAGCAGGCAGCAGGGCCTCACCATGCAGACTGCCTCCACCTTCGGGTTTTTTTCCCGATGTTCCCAGAGGGGTCTGGGCAGTGGGGGCTGCCCCTGTGCCACCCTATGGATTCAGCAGCTGCAGGACAGCCAGGGCCACCTCACCTGCTGCCACCCAGCCATGGGGAGCTCAAGGAGCTTGGCGTTAGGATTAAGAGCCCACTGCCCCAAGCACCTGGGGGAGCCTTCCAGATGTTTGCCTCTGCTCTCTTTGAGCAGGAGGAGGTGGTGCCATCCATACAGCCAGCACCGGGATCCTTGGGAGCCAATATGGGAGGAGAGACCAAATCCTGCCTGGACACCCAAGGAAAGCCCCACTGCCCCGGCCAATAATCACCAGATGCCAATCCCAGACCCCAAATAACCGGCAGCCAAAGCCTCACCTTGGGGCTGAGGACCACCGCAGAGCCCCCGCTGATGCTGATGATGGGGACCTGGGTCTGAGAGGAGATGAAGTCAAGGATCTGGGCCACCGCTTCCGTGCCAACGTTGTCCTCGAACACAATGCCGTGGATCTTGTGGCTGGCCAGCACGTCGCAGATGTGGGTGAGGAGGGTGCTGGGGTTGGTGTTGTTGACAACAACGGTGATGGGGTGGATCTCCAGGGGCATGTCCAGGAAGCTCTGGGGACTCAGGCGGGAGCGGATGTGCAGCGGGTAGGACGTGCCCCCAAACACCACGGCCACGTTGACCACTGGCTCTGCAGGGCCGGGCAGCAGCACATCGGTGAAGGCAGCTGAGCAGCCCAGCACCAACGACAGCAGCAGAGTGTGCGCCGGCGCTCTGCCCATGTCCACCGCCGTGTCCCTGCGAGGATGGACACAGCCCTTCACACCCATCCACTGTGGGGACACTGCCCCATGCACCACCCCAGCACTGGGTGGCCCCAGCGAAAGGGGGACTCTCCTCCCTTGGAGGCTGGATGCGGGGTGGGGATGACCGTAGGCCTGTGCCCTCCAGCTCAGCCCCTTTGGGAGTACAGGGTGCTGTCTCCCAGTGCCACATTCCTTACCCTCATCCCCAAGAGCCACAAACCTTCCCCAACCTGTTCCTCCTTCCCTCCACAACCCCATCACCATTTCGCTGCCACTTTGCCCTCCTTCCCATCTGAGCCACATTAGGATGCTCCTCATTGCCTCTGGGCAGGGACAGAGACAGCAGCAGGAGGTGCTGGGAGGAGCTGGATGCTCCCTCATGGCTCTCTCCACGCTGACAGTCACCTGAAATATTTACAGGCTGAAACCTCGCGTTCCCCTGAGCACCCTCTGCAGTGCAGTGTGGATCCCTCACAGAGCCAGTGGGGCCAGGATGTGATGGGGCAGAAAAGCCCCTCAGCTCCTGCTGCTGCCTGGAAGGAAAACCCCCAAAAGCCCCATAAGCTGCTCACCAGCTTTAGCTGCATGGTACCCAGCTCAAGTACCCAGCAGTTACTAAAGAATGGAGAAAAATGAAGGTTTCCTTTAGCTGCCTGGCATGACTGGAATTGCAGGGCTGGTGGGCCATTTGCAACCTGGAACACCAACCCCAGCCTTGAAGCCCCAGGGCCATCAGCCACATGCCAGCCATGGTGGCACTGCATGCAGCAAGATGCCAGCTGCCAGCCGGCGCTTGGAAATGTCACCCGCAATTAAAAGCTGCTGTTGCTTAACGCATCCTTGGCATAGAGAGAGAAAGTTTGGGGTCTGTGCTGGGGCTGCCCCAGGGACCCCTCTGTCCAGTGACACGGCACAAGGCCACTTGGTGAAAAGCACTGCCAGCATTTCAGGCTGAAAATATGTGAAATAACCCAAATTAGCGCCTCTCCACGCACCTGGTGTCACAGCCAGGGTTGAGCTGTCGAACGGCCTCACAACCCCTTCCCACATCCGTGCCCCCTGCAGCAGCCACAATGCCAAGGTGAGGCACAGCCCCCGCTGACTCACACTGATGGTGTCCCACCCCACGGCACAGCCCGGCCCGCACCGCCGCTCCTCGCCGCAATCCCCGGGTATTTTTAGTCCCACGATAAATAATTCATTGGGAATCCGGCACCAGCTACCCGAGCAGGGAGGAAGGGGAGCAACGCACCACCCAAAACAAACAGAGCCGCTCTCCCGGCAGTTCTGTCCGTCTGACGGCTCCTCAAGGACACTGAAATACACCCCAGGCCTTCACTGCAGCTGAGATTTGCTCCATCAGCCGCGTGCCACACGCGTCGCCCACAGCGCCGGCACGGGACGGCCAAACCCCATCCCAGCGTGGTTCTGCACTGAGCTCCGGAGAACCCCAGCAGCCATCAGTCCACACGCAGAGCAGCACAGCCCTCTCCAAAAGCCAAGCGCCGCTTCCAAAGGGGCTGCTCGTGTCGGACTGCAACTGCCATCCAAAATCCCCAACCTGTATCGCAACGGGGGGCGGATTTGGGCAAACGGGATCCACGTCGAGCAGCATTGCCTGGCTCTGTCCCCACAGCACAGTGACAGCTGCAGAGCGAGGAGGTGGGCACGGCACAGAGCTGCTCAGCCACCGCTCAGACCAACAGAACAAACCCAGCAGTGCCGCTGAGATGGTGCAGAGGAGGGGGTGCGAGGTTGGGCCTGGGGGGGACAGCGGGGTTGGCTCGGGGATTACCTGTGGGATTGGGGTTGTAGCAGCGTTTCTGGTGCCAGAGCAGCCGGTGCAGCCCTGAGGATGCCAAAATGGCCGGGATTGGGATGCAGAGCACAAGGAGCCACCTGGGCACGGCTGGCAAAGCGCACCATCAGCCTGGGCCTTGTAGGGGGTGGGAAAAGGGGATCTGAGGGAGAAGGCACCAAACAGCAGCAGGGGGCCGGGGACCAGGCTGAGCACAGCAGCTCCACAGGGGTGGTGGCACAGGGCAGAGCCCACGGACCGGGGGACCCCACGCTGACTGCAGACAGAAGGGCTGATGTGGGAGCGAGGGATGGGGCAGCACCAACTCAGGGCTCACAGAAATCCGTTCCAGGCGTGCTCCGAGCCCTCGCCTTCCTCCACCTCCCGGAATGTTATTTTAATGCAACAGGGAAAGTTCACTTCTCGCTTTAAGACTCTTTTTGCTTCTATCCGTCCCTTCCTCCCCGCTAGCAGCCCCAGCACCGCGGGGGGGGGGGGGGGGGGACCGTGCGGATGCTGTGACCTCGGGGAGGGGAGGAAAAAAATCCCGAATTGCAAAAATCCATCCGGAGAAAGAGAAACCTTATCTCAAGAAGAGCATCGGAGCCCGAGAACCACAGCGAGCGGGAAGGGGCCGGGAAGGACAGCGCGAAGCGGAGCCGCGGGGGATGCGGGGGCACCGATAGGGCCAGGAAACGCGTTTGGTGCTGCGCAGGTGAGGGGCGGCCCTACAGGGACCTCAGTGAGCCCCTGAAGGGGGACAACGGCAAAACCGCCCCGACCGTCCCCTCCGGCTGCCCGGAGACGCAGCGCTGTCTCCTTTCAACCTTCATCCCGCGCCGCCCTCCTCCTCCTCGCAGCACCAGTTGCGGGCAGGGCCCGGCGCGCCCCGCACACACCGAAACGCACCGAAACGCAGCTTAAAAAAAAAGGAAAGTCGGATGTGGATTAATCGAAAACAAAAGGGAGAGGCGGGTTATGCAAGGTGCGCTTATTTTTGTGCTTCCCCCTAACATAGACCCATCCCCATTTCGAGATGATGAGAGATGCGGCTGTGAAATTTCCAGGAGACCCCCCAGAAAACCCCAACTCACCGCTAAAAGTTCCTGCCGAGCCCGTCGGGGGCCCGGCCCCCCCAGTCCGCCCGGTACTCACGGGAGCAGCGCCGCTCCGGCTCCTACATGCCCCGCTCCGCTCCCGGGGGCTCCTCCCGCTACCGCCCCCCCGCCCGGGGCAGCCCCAGGGCACGGTCCGGCCTCGCTGCGGCCGAGGGGTGCGAGGTGCCAGGGCGAAGGGGGGGGCGCAGGGTGGGGAGGGGGGGTCCGGCCGTCGGTCCCAGACTCGTCCTTGGAGGAGGAGGAGGAAGCGCTGCAGCTGCGGCGGGAGGGAGGGATGGGAGCGGAGGAAGGAGGGAGAGGGGTGGGTGCGCACGGGGACGGGGGGGGCCGAGCTCAGTCAATGCCAGCAGGTGTTCCAAGGGGACCGCTGCCCCCGGCTTCATGCTCGCGGCTCCCCGGTAGCCATAGCCGGGTCGGGACGGCCGGGGATCGGGGACGGAGGCAGAGATGCGGGCACGGGAAGGGAGGGCAGGAAAAGGAGGGGTTGGCAGAAGGACGAGACATATGTCCTCCCGGCCCCTGCCCTCTGCCGAGCCGCAACTTCGCCGCTTGGCTGCAGTCCCCCCTCCAAATTCGTGCTCCGGGCGCGAGGAGCCAAAGCAGCAAAGCTCCCCCACGAAAAAAAAAATAGCAAAGTGGCACAGCCCACGGCAAGGACCCCTTCCTCTCCCCGGACATTGCTCCCCTGCAGCCCACCCACAGAAAGAATCAGAGACTGCCCACGTCCCGTTCCTCCCCCCCCCCAAACACGTACACCCCAAATACCTTCCAGCCGTTTGCTAGCTTAACCGCTGGGAACCGTCCTGCTGCCCATCGCGGTGCCCCCCAGCCAGCACGGAGCAGCCCCGGGCCCCCATCCGCCGCAGGGGGGCACAGGGAGCGCAGCCCCTGCCGGCAGCAGCAGCCTCCAGCTGTCGCCAGGGCCCGTATTAAGGCATCAGCTGATCCCCCACGCCGCTCGGGGGGAGAGCGGGGGGAGCCCCGGCAAAGGCAGGGGGAGAAGGGCAGAACTCCAGGGGGTCCCGTTGCCCTCAGGTTGGGCGCTGGGTCCTCTCAGCAGCACCCGTGGCACCTCTGGAGGTGGAGGTGCCCGGCCCGGGGACACGGCCACCCCCTCGAGAGACCCCCGTGGCACCGGGATGGCCGTCACCCCCCGCACCGGCACCGCAGCCACCTGCAGCACCATCGCAGCCCGTGCCACCAAGCGCTCCCCCAGCACCAAACGCAGCCCAGCGCCCATCCACGTGTCTCATGGAAAGGTCGTTTCCAGAGAGGTTTCAGCCCACGCCAGCCCCGCTGCTCGCAGTGAGCGCAGGACCTCCGCGTGCCTTTCCCCAAGGCCAGGGGCCCTGGGGTTTGCAAGCGATGCCAAAACAAATGGAAATTGTGTTTTCCTCCTGGCCTTCGCTTTAACCCATTTATGAGCAGCAGCCCTGCTGTCTCCAGGACAGCTTGCTCACATCTCCAAGGCGTGAGGATTCTGCAGGGCTCAGGGCGTGCGCAGCCCTCTGCTCAGTATGGGCAGGATGCTGCTCTCGTGCTCCAGGAAAAGGAGAGGGGAGGCTGAGCAAAAGGCCACTGCCCAACAGGCGAGGGTCACCCCTGTTTTCAGCACCGCAGAGAAGAAAGGGCACCCGGCTGCAAGTAACCCTTCCACCAAGGGCTGGACTGGGCCTCGCTGGAAGGCTGGTCCTTCTCGCAGGAACAGCCCTGTTCCCACGCCATCCCATCCCGTGGGTTGTTTCCCCTCCGTGGGCTCACACACCCACCCGGGCACAGTGAACAGCTGGGTACACCTGGAGGGTTCCTGCAGCGGGGATGGGCCTACAGTGCCACACATGCCAGCCTGACAGCCATCTTTTCTCTCCTCTGAAGGTATTGAAATAAAATAAACTTTTTTTCCTGCACCCACCCTGCTGCCATGGCCGTGCCCCGAGGTTCTGTAACAGCTCCAGCATACGGCACTGTCTCACAATCATCAAACCCACCTTATTTCAACACGTGAGTAACACAAATCCTTTTTACATTTCCCCCCCCCCGAAAAGCACCCTGGTGGTTATAAAGGTCAGAGCAGAACAGAAGCACCGACTGCACCCTGGGAGGAAGCCCTCAGCCCTGCCAGGCACGGGTTGACATTTCCTCCCAAGAGAAAACCTCATTTCCCCACTCAGCACCATCCAACCTGGGTGTGCTGCGCTCCCCCTCTTTTTGCTGGGCTGGGAGGGCACAAAGCTGCCCGCCCCTCTCTTCTCCTTCCCTCCCACACCGCTGTGCATTACCCCGGCAGGTTCTCGGCCCACAGCACCCCCTCAGCCCATTACCTTCCCCCGCTGCGTGCCCTGCAGGAGGCTCTGCTGCTGCTCGTTGCCCGCAGCGTGCGCTGACAGCTCCTGGTGCACAGCCACGTCCTGCAGGGAGGGCTGCAGAAGCACAGGAGGGCTGTTCTGGGAGGACAAAGCTGCTCCATGCATACCGCAGGCTCCTTGCACCCCACAGCAGCCCCAGCAGCACAGCCGTGGGTCCCTTTGCCATTCAACATCGCGCTGACACCAGAGCCCTGATGGTGGCACGTGGGATGGATGCCGGGGGTTTGGTCCCAGCTCTGTGCCTGTCCTGCTCCTGCCAGCCTCCCCTAGAAGTGTGGCCAAAGTAAGGCTGTCTGAGCCCACCCACTGCTGAAACTGGGAACCGACCTCTTCCTTCCACCCCAGGGCTCATTTAATTTAACAAAGGAATGTGTGCGAAGAGCACCTTCATGGGATCACTGCTCTGCCCCTTAAAGGTGTCTGGGGCTTTGGTACCCACACCGAGCTGCCCGCTGCCCTGATCCTGGCCACCAAAACCAGAATGAAGACAGAAAGTGAAGCAGAGCTGGCAGAGGTGGGAGCAAGGCTGCAGGGACAGGGCTGTGCACACACCACGGCCCCGCTCTGCTGCCACACATCCCTTCCGCTCGGTAATTAAGGGAGCTGAAATAAATAGGGAGGGCTTTGTCACCACAGGGATAATTCCTCCTCCCAGGTGGCGGCTGCCCGCAGGGCTGCCCCAGAGGCTGGAAGTGGAAATTTCCCAGAAAGGGAGGAAATCACTCATTCCTGAGGTGTAACCAACCCTCATCCTCCAACACCTGCCTCACTCGTCCCTAAGCAGCGCCCTGGGGCAGCTGCTGTGCCCTTCCCAGAGACAGAACGATCAGCTCATCCTCTTTGCTCCCCTCCCAGCCCTAGCAAAGCTCACAGCACCGAATCCCACAGAGATGAACCCTAAGTGGGGGCGCATCCTCCCACCCCGTGCAGGTGCCCCACATGGCTATGGGGACAGTGCAGCTTCAGTCCAATGGCATGGGTGCATTCTAGCGGCACAGTGCCTGCGGGGCATCTCATCCCTTGTCTGGCTTCAGGCTCCCAGAAAACTTACAGGAGTGCAGAGCAGTGGGAACACCGAGTCTTTAAGGGCAGGAGGGGAAACGTGGGCGCTCTGAGAGCTCTGGGGCAAGGATGCACACGGAGTCCTTTTGGAGAAGGGAGGAGGTTGAGCCGAGAGGAACCCATTCCCTCAGTGCAGGGGAAGGGAAGTCGGGAAGCCCAGAAACGGGAACCTCGGCCCCACTCCCACCAGAGACAGCAGTGGGAAGATGAGGAGCCCCCCCCCCCCCCCGGCCCAGAACGCTGCTGGGAGCTGCGCTGGGCCAAAGCGCTGAGGTCAGCTGGTGGAGCCATCTGTTCCCCGCCGGCCACCCAGCGCAGCTCAGTGCAGCACCCGGCGGCTCTGCGGGGCTGGGAAGGCGCAGCCCAGGCCGAGGCTCATCCGTTCATCACACGGCTGAGAGGCTTTTTCCCAACATCTTCCTTGGTGGCGTGAGCTGGTTTCTAAGCGGCCGCTGACCTCCCTGCTGCCAGGCCAGCAACCTGCCCCCAGCTGGTTTGTCTCACGCCAGGCTAGATTACCTGTGCTCTGGGTGCTCTCGACGCTCATTTTAGAAGGCCAGTTTCAGCAAGCAGCCCCTTAGCAAAGCCAGCAAGATCTCCGAGCTCATCCCAGCTGTAACTTCAGCTTCCAGCAGCACACAGCTGTCACTCACAGCGTCGCCTGTGCGGCTCCTTCCCTGCTGCAGAAACGGCTCTGGAGCCGCTTCTCCTCCCGGGCTGCTGGGGACGTTGGGTCCACGTGCTGCTGGTGGTGAACGCAGCCCGGGGGCTGCAGGCAGGCAGCCTGAAAACGACACCGTGCAGCAAACACCCGCGGAATGAACTCTGCTGAACAGCGGCACCCGATCCCGGGAGCGACCCGAGCTGCCCGCAGCGCGAAGCCGGCAGCACGGCCGCCCGGCCCCATCAGCCCCTCTCGATCCCCATCGCCGGCTCCTGAGCGCCACCTAACGACACGGCCACAGGGACAGGGACCTTCCCGGGGAAGCCAGACGCATCCCAGTCCCGTAGAGACGGACGGAGAGCCCCAGAGATGGGGATGCAGCAGAGCGGCCACCTGGGGAGCGGGCGAGCGAGCGGCAGGAAAAGGGGCAGCTGAAAGCATCGAATTAGGATTGACAGCATCGTCACGATCCTCCAGCCGGCCATCAGGTTCCATCTGTGCCCCGGCTGACTCTGTCCCACAGCTGTCAGCAGCCCTGCACAAACCCCAGGGTCTCAGCCAACTTCTGCATTAAGACATTGGGTCCAGCAATGGAAGATTCACCCCTTAATCTGTCATCACAGCTCAAAACTTATCCCGAAGCATCACCTGCCTGGAAGCAGCCGCTCGCTGTGCTCAGAGCAAGCACCACAACCTGCGCCACGGCTACAAAAGCAGCTTAACATCAACATTCACAGCAGCATGCAGAGCTCTAGGGAAGAGCCAGCCTGCTGCTTCCCCTACCCTCAAGGCAGCCACAACAGCCCCTTCACCACCCCGCTTCTGGCTCTCTGCGCAGCCCTTCACGCTCACTCCCCCGATTCCAAAGCGCCCGTTCGCCTCTGAACCCAGAGCTGATGTAATCTCCTGCTTGAACGTTCAGCTTTAGGACAGCATCAGCCCTGGGACGTAACGAGAGCCACATCACACAAGCAGATGTTCGACAAAAGCTTTATTGCTCGTTTGCGTACGAGCTCCCAGTACCACATTTCCTGAGTTTCTTAATGATCTTGCAAATAAGATTTAAATAGAACAGGAAAGGGAAAAAATACAGATAAAAAGAGAAGCCACTGATCTTTCTTGCCTAGCCTGGGATCAGAGACAGGCACGGGCACAGAGCACCAGGACAGGGCAAATCTCTACCCCAGGAGGGAATGCGGAGGAGACCGCAGCTATGCGTGGAACTGAGACAGTCGCTGCCATCTGCCCTGGCTTGATTTACCCCCTGCCTCCATCACGGAGCCCCATTTGTTTTCATATGCAGCCACGAGCAACAGCCGTCCTCACTGCTGCACAGGTCAGTGCTGGGAGCAGCTCCGATCACAGGTGACCGCAGCGCCAGGGACGGCGCGGGTGGGGGGCTGTGCTGGCCTGACCTCTGCACCACGGATAAAGAGGAGATTACTGCTCGCAGCTCGTAATCTGGCTTAAATCCTGACACCATCACCACGTCAATTTAGGCTAAGAGAAGCATTTAATAAGCTTCAAAACACACAGGCCAAAAAATCCCAACCAACAGTGAGCAAAGTGAAGGGGAGCAAGGCACTGCTGCGTGATTCAGCTCCAGCAGGTACCAACACACACGGATCTGCTGCGATCCAAAACAAGGCAGTTACACACCTGTTATCCCATTTCACCCCACAAGCCAGAACCCAGGCTTTGTCAGGGTTCAACTGTGGAAGGCAGAACACAAGTTAATGCCCCTGTTTGGTTTAGAGCTCCCTACAGGCAGACAGCAAACAGCACAAGAAGAGCTGGCTGTCCCTGGCACAAGCTGCAGCAGACGCACACAGGGCTGGCAGCTCCTGAGAACAAGGCAGTCACAAAGGAGCCAGACTCAAGTGGCAGGTCCAAATCATCTCTCCTGGAAAGGTTTATTTTAAAACAATTATTATTAAAAAAAAAAAAAAAAAAAAAAAGCCTGCTTACACATGAATGACGAGGCAATGAAGGCTTGAGGCTTGAAGGGGAGGCAGTGAGACACAAGAAAGTTTCTCTGTGCTTCTTGCCATGGGTGCAGCGTGAGGCCAAGGTTCCTGCCAAGCACACATCTCACTGCTCTGACCAATCTGCCAATGCCAGAAGCACCCAGGCAACACGAATCACCCCCAGGAGCTACAGCTGGAGCAGAGATGTGGGGCCAGCCCACAGCCCCAGCCGTTCTGAGTCACTCACTCAGGGAAGGCAGAGTTCATTGTTACCAGCAGGTCCCCAGTGCCACGTTCGTTCCCAGGTCGGCAACCAGCCTGGTGCTGCCCCTGACAGTTCTGCGTGGGCCATCCCTGCAGCTTCAGTGGCCGATCAGCTGCAGCATCTCCTGAGGATCTACTATCTTCTCCCGGGGTTTGCCAGCAGCTTTCCCTCTTGCCACCTCGGCAGCATCTATCTTCTCCCAGTCCGAGAAGGAAACAGGACGGATCCCTGGGGTGATGGTGAGAGACAGGACTGAGGCATCAACCAAGTGAAAATGAGTTCAGCCTCACCTCCCCATTAGCAGGGACCTGACGTGCATGAAAACCCTGCCCTTTTCCAACACGGCGTCAGACTTTAGCATCGCACAGGAATAATAATTCCGAGCACCAGGAGGAGAGAGATGCGGGTTCCAGTCCAATCTGATTAGTCAGACCTTTGCGAGCCATAACAACGGTGAGCACAGCATCACCGTAGGGGACAAAGCACTTACAAAACACTTCCAGTTACTGTTAAGGCTCAGACAGTTAAGAGGCAAACACACATTTTAATTGAATGCCTTTAAACACTGCAGCAGTAAATGACTCTCTCAGGCATTTTAATCTTTTCCCCAATTTGCCTGGAAGGATTGCTAGGAAAACCATTCAGGAGCAACAACTCACTGTCTACACCACTGACAGTGACATTGTGTCCATGGCCCATGCTGCTCTTAATGGCCTTTCCCAGAAAGTGGTCATTAACCATAGCAACGACGCTGACTTTCTGAGAATCCAAGCCCTGCTCTCCCTGCACTTCAGAGCGGCAAAATAGCAGCACAACCCCTTTCCCTGCTTGGCTCCCAAAGGTGGCACGTTGGACTCACTGCCCCAGGATACCCAGATCCAGGATCCGTCTCCACCACGCTTCATGCTAGCTGCTAGAGTCTGACACACACTCACCTCGACTACGCAGGATGCTACCCACAGCCCCAAAACCTTCTCTGGAGACGGTCACATCCAGCACACCCCCTTGGAGATCCTCCAGCACAGACTGGGCAGTGTCAAAGCTGTCATTCATGGTGGTGATGATCACTCCCACAGGTCCTCTCTTCACCCACCCACTGCAGTACAGACCTGCATGGGCACACACAGCAGCCAGGCTCAGTCTGGCACGGGACCACGGACCCTCGTGGATGCAGGTTCTTGCCCTGTCCCAGCTTTGGATGTCACATATGTCACATCAAGCTGCAGACAGCAGCACGATGCACCCCTGCTTTGGGGACAGAGTACAGTGCTCTGACAGTGCTGTCACAGGAACTTGTGCACCTCCAGACTAGCACCAAGCAGCCAAATGGGCTGTACGGCTTCAGTAACAAGACTCCAAGGCCTAATAAAACAAAAAATGAACATGTCCTTCAGAGCTGTTTGCTAAAAACCGCACGGCTCTAACGTTAGCTGGGACCGGGACAGGTTTTTAAGTCTGACAGAAGGAGCTGATTTTCTGTTTTCTGCACAGCTGCCGTGTATTGGTGCCCTCGGTGAGCAAGGCTTCCCAACTCAAAGCCCTCAGCACACCAGCCACGCTCCACACACATCCAGGGGCGTCTGTGGTACAGACCTGGAACACCCCTCACTCTGCCCAGGCTGTTGGGGATAATGCCGTGCTGGGCGTCGAAAGGCACCGCTGGCTCCAGGGGCAGGCTCCGGTAGCCAATGCTGCTGAGCACCAGCCCGCACTCCAGCTCCTCCATGTCTCCAGTGGGGACAGCTTTGGCAGAGTCACCTAAGCCCTGAGAGAGGGAAGAGGCTGCTGACGATAAGACAGTCACCAGACGAAGAGCACAGACACTTCAGGTACCCCTAATCCTCAGGGAAACTGCTAAAGGCCCTTCTGCAGCAGCGATGGGAAAGAGCTGCTTCAAAAACGGAGCGGCTCTTGGTGGTAGAACCAGCTTCTAAGGCAGCCACCATGAGCCTCTCCAAACAGCGAGAGGTTGTGAAGTCATCTTATAGACAACGGTTGCCAAGGGCTACGGGGATGTACTGCTCCATCCCCAGCTCTGCTACAGCCAGTCTGGCAGCCAGGAGGACCCTGCAGCCGTACCTCCAAGCGGGTCAGGGCCATGCGGACGCCCCTCACCCGCGTCCCATCGGCGGTGGGCAGCACCTCCTGGGGGCTACGCTGGAACTTCAAGCCCCACTGCCGGGGGACTGCTGCCTTCTCCCTGGGCTTCTCCAGGGCCGTTTTGATCATCAGCTCAGTCAGTCGTTTCCTGGGCCTGGGGGCATCTAAGAAGAGAGAGAGAGAGAAAGAGAGAGACCTTCAGGTCAGAAAGGAATGTCAGCAAAGCCCCTGAGGACACGGCATGGCCACATCAAGGCAGTTCTCAGTGATGTGTGAATGCCCATTTGGAGTTCGTCATGCAGCAGGGGGTTCAGCGCCTTTGAGATGACAAATGGGAAGTCAAAGTGCCCAGGAGAGCTCCTGAGGCTTGAGGCCAGTGGGACACACAAATCAAAGCTTGTAATGCTGCTGTCCTGCTGGCACTCAGAGGCAGCAGCCTGTGGAGAAGAGCAAGTCTCTGGACATCCCTGAGCTCAGTGCTTTTTCTTTCTCACTCTGCAGGAGGCTTTTAAATCAAAAGCCTTGAGACCTCTCATGCAAGGCTCTCTCAGACATCCCAAGCCTCCTGCCCTCATCACTCAGACAGCTACTATATTCCAAGAAACAACGCTGCTGTGGAAACAGAGAAATAGGCTGCTCCCTGCTCTCTGAGGCCTCCCATCACTCTGAGAACAAGCCACACCACCTGTCTCTCACATGCCGTGCACACAATAAGAATTTCTCTGATGCACGTTCTGAGCGCCTCCAGAACACTCTTGAATGTTTGTCTGTCGAGGTGAGTCCCTGTCTGGAGGAACACGACACACTTTCCTCACCTTTAACAGCATTTTCGAGGCCTGTGAAGTCAGCGGGGTTCAGGACAGGTTGGGTACCAGGCAGATTTATCATCTCCCGCAGCTCCTGGGAATTGCAGGCAGGGAGATGTTACCTCTGATGCAGAGATGCCACCCAACAGCCCTAGGCAAGTCCAGACCGGGAGCCAGCAAATGGCTGCAGGAAGTGGGTGTCTCACACATCCATTGACAGACTGCCTCTCCCCAATGGAGAAGGGCAGCCTGGGGTCCAACTCTGAGGAGAACGCTGCCCTCCAGCATCCTCTCCAGAGAGAGAGAGCCTTACCTTGATAGTGAAAGCAACTTGGAGAGGCCCCCTTCTCCCAGCCAGCCACACGCGCTTCACCTTGCTGCAGGCTAGAGCTGCCAAGGAGCACTCAGTGATGTCTGTCTTCTGCAGGACAAAGACATGTGACAGGAGAGTGGGATGAGGTCAGGTCTGGAGGGAGCAAGAGGAAGGCACAGCCTCTGAAGGTGAAAAAAATCAGCAGAAAAGCAGGCCGTAAGTACAGAGCCTGGACAAGGACGGAAAGCAACTCATCTGCCTTTGCACAAAGCTATCTGAACAGCCAGACCCTCATCACTGAACTTTCTGAGGCTACACCGTGCGAGGCAATGAGCCAACACCTCAACAGATTGCCCCCGGCCACTCGCCACACGCAGGTTAACCACTCTAACAGAGCCTTCCAGCGACCTTTATTTTGGAGTGCTTACAGTTTTGTTGGGTCATCTCCCATTTCAGGATACACAGGCACCTAAGTGAAACCCACTACAATACACTGCTTAAATCAATGCCTGCTTGACCCAGGCAGCTCCAAGCACAAACACAAAGAACTGCTACTCGTTGCCAGAGCCTCCAATTTGTATTGTTGGCCTTTTTGTTTTTGTTTTTTTTAATTTAGACATTAATACAGGAACTTGCTGCACAGCTGTAACCAACCTCATGGCAGCTCTCCAGGAGGGAGAGCCCTTGCTGCTAACATCTGGGGCAACAGCTGTGCAGAGCAGCCAAAGCACACCAGCTGCCTGTAGGGGAGCACAGCAGCAGAAGAGGCCCACTGGCTGGGACCAGCACACAGCAACCAGTGTCTCCAGTGCTGCCATCGGGAACCTGGCTGCTGCCCACAGCAACAGCAGGAAAAGAAGCAAGCAGAAGAAGCCTAAGGTTTGGTGGCAGAAAAGAGCGAGGAGCTCATCCTTTAATTCTTGTATGAAATAAAGCTCAACTTTTTAGGCACTAGAATTGCTCCATACTTTTGTTCATACCTTGTGGATTGTGGGACAACAGCTTTCCCTGGTGAAAGAGCCCAAAGGCAAAAAGGGCTCAGGAAGTATATTCTCAGCAGAAACAGCTCTCTCTCTCTCCTCAGAGTTGGCTGAAACCAGAGAAGTCCAGCACCCACCCAGCAGAGAGCAACTCTGGGTCACTCCCCACCTTCATGGCACCCCAACTCACCCTGAGGAAATCCAGCGGAGAAAGGAGGATGCGGGCGACATCCAGAGCCACGTTGCCATGGCCCAGGATCAGCGCTGTTTCACAGCTTAGGTCAGGCGTCAGCTGCAGGGAGCAAAAGGCCCTTCCGTGAGCAAACTCACCAGGCCTCTATGACACCCATCCCCCCGGACCCACGCCTACCACCCAAATTCCCCTCTGCGGGTCCCGGCCAAAATACACTGCCAACCTACAGAGCCAGTTAATCTGCTCTCACTGATGTGCAAATTGTTCACATTTCTACCATCTAAGAAGGATTTGACGTGGCTCTTGCTAATCTTTTGCAATGGCAGGCCTTCCAGGATTTAATCTGGAGCTGGATGTCAGCGTTCAGATACAGCACGGGAAGGAAAGGCAGGGAAACAAATGGCCGTACTCACACCCCGGTTCTCAGGCAGTCCGTTGTACCAGCCCACAAAGGCTCGGGCTGAGTAAACCCCACACAGGTTTTCCCCTGGGATCCCCAAAACCCGGTTGTCTTCAGCGCCGTAACTCTAGGAACACAGACACAGAAAAGCCGGTGCGTGCAGCGTTCAGCACTGAATCACCAGTCTGCCCCCCTGGCAATTGCTCTGCTGGACACCCCACGGCTGCCCTCCTCACTCACCAGCACCACGGCATGGTACGCCTGCTGCAGCTCTCCCACCGTGACGTCCCTGCCCACGGTGACATTGCCATAGTAGGCGCAGCGCTCCGAACGCGCAGTCTGCGTGAACGCGTTGATCACATTCTGCCAAGATCAAACAGATCAAACAAGCGACATTATGTTCAGACCACAGCTGGTCCAAGGTCCACGCTCACAGGAGGACGCTGCCCCCATTCCTCTCGGCCTTGAAACGCTTCTCCCCGTCTTTGATTTGGTTATTCTGAGGCTCTTATCCGTCAGCACTCACAGATAACTAACTCACTGTCAGACAAACAGAGAGGCAGCTTGGCACAGTTTCCACCTCCCCCTGTGGAAACAAAAACTGACTTTTTGCACCCACCTGGAGGAGATGGGACCATTTTAATACCCTCAGCCCCTCCCTGAGTAAAGCCTGCTGTAGGAGAACGCCCCTTCACAAGGTGAGGCTTGCAAGGGAGCCCTGTCAAACAACCCCTTCCACTCACGGTGCTGCCTGCCCAACCCTACTGGTTTCAAGTCTTCCTGAAAGCCACTACACCAAGGGAGGAAGCAGTCCAAGTCCTTTCTTCTGAGTGACTGAGGCTGATCAGCAGAGCCACTGCTGGTACAAGCAGATAGAGACAGCGGAATGAAGTTACCCCAAAACCATGTACATACTTTACATCCATACCTTCCATTTTTCAGATAAAAAATGCATGCACTTTGGTCTGACAATCTCCTGAGATTAAATGGGGTAACCATGACAAAATACTGCTGTGTTTGGATCTCCTCATCCTCCCACTGCAACCACCTCCACCTCAGATACAACATCTATCTCTCCACACAATTCTCACTCACTGCAAGGCAAAGGAAAATGACTGATTTAGAAGAGCTCCTTGATTCAACTTCTCCTCACTCAGGTATGCACCCACATCCCAGCTCCATCATCCCCACAGCAGATCCACATTTTTCCAATCACTGACACCAAGTAAGGTCTCAGCACACCCAGGCTAGGGCAGAGCACAAGAGGAGCAGTCAGTGCCACTGCTGCAGCACTGCGGGATAGATGAACATCCATCAGCACAAAGTGCTCTGGCATCCACCACATCTCTGTGCAGCCTGTTCCAGTGCCTCACCAGCCTCGCCATAAAAGATTTTTTCCTTATATCCAACCTAAATCTACTCTTTTGGAGCTTGAAACCATTTCCCTTTGTTCTATCACCACACATCCTGCTTAAGAGTCTGTCCCCTTCTTTCCTATAGCTTTCTTTTGGATACTGCAGGCTGCTATCAGGTCACCTCACAGAAGAGGCCCCACCAGCACAGAGCAGAGGGGCAAGATCACCTCCCCGCCCTGCTGGCCACACTGCTTTTGATGCAGCCCAGTGCTCGTTGCTGTTGTTGCAGGCCAGCCTCAACAATGCAGGGAGCCAATCTCAGAGCAGCACTTGCCATCACACAGACAGTGTTTCTGACCCTGTATTCAGAGCCCTGAAGCCAGTTCTTGTCTATCTCCAGGCCACAGCCTCAGTATGGGCAAAGAGATTAAGGCTTTGAAGACACTGAAGGACCACTTCAACACAGCAGCCCCTGATCACAGCGAGCCATGAGGCCAGCTGCCTGGCCTGCGCTCACCACCACGTTCCAACATGTGGGCAAGGGAAGAAGTCAGCACTGACCTTCACTTCAGGGTGATCCGGTGCCACTCCAAAACGGACGAGCCCAAATGGAACAGGCAGCTTCTCATAGATGTCCACTTGTGCCAGGTCATGGTGCTAAAGGAGAGTAAAGGTTAAGGAATGAGGAAAGGCCTCGTGAAGCCCAGCAGCTCAGGAGGGGCACACACTGCTCGCCCACTGCTGGGGGAAATGCAGGGCAAGAAGGAATGCTGCACAAAAATCCTGTAGCCGGAAACTGGTGAAGAGAAGGGAAGTCATCTGTTCCAAACTCTTAAAAAGGTCCTTTACACACAAGTCATTACCTGCTTCTGCCAGCTCAGACTGCAAGACGCAACAGAGAATGTAAAGCCAATAACAGTACTTTTCTGGGGCTCTCTCCTCACTCTCATCCCACAGCCCTGCCTCTATGCTGACCTCATGGCTGCCTTGCTGGGCAAAGGGCACCAAACACAGCCCCCTCTGTGCTGGCTAAGATGTGCCAAGAGCCTGAGGGCACCCTGAGACCCTCCAGGTCTGGGCCACAGCTTTACGCAGATGTTTTGCTGTAAGGCTTTTGCTATCTTTCATTTTTAGTCAGCTTCTTCCTGGAGATTAGGCAGCCCTGAAATTTGTCCCTGAGGCTTAGCAACAGCTAATTTCCAAAACATATCACAGACATCACAGAGCAGTTTAACGCTGGGGTTAAGCTGATGTACCTCTGGTCAGTACCAGCAGATCAGTTTTATATTACAGCCTCATTTCCCATCAGGGATTAGCTGAAGCACTAACACCTACAGGGCAAAGGATTACCCTTCTGCCCCACTTCAAGTGGAGAAGGAGTCAGGAAGGCAGGGAACGTCACCTGCGTTGGTGAGCAACACCTCCAGACAAATCAGATCTCTGCTGGTTATTTGATTCTAGAAGAGTCACAGAACTCTTAAATCATTTCATTTGGAAGAGACATTTAAAGTTCATCTGTTCCAACCCCAAAGTAATCAGCAGGGACACCTACAGCTCGAACAGGTTGCTCAGAGCCCCCTCCAGCCTGACTGAGGGCATCTTCAGGGAAAGAGCATCCACCACCTCTCTGTGCAGCCTGTGCCAGCGCTTCACTACCCTTACTGTAAAAAACTGTTCCTTATACCCAACCAATTCTCCTCTCTTTTAGTTTGAAAACATTTCCCCTTTTCCTGTTACAACAGACCCTGCTAAGGTGTCTGCCTCCTCTCTTATAGCCCCCTTTTAAATACTGAAGGCCTCTCTCAGTTGTCCCCAGAGCCTTCCCTTCTCCAGGCCGAACAGACCCAGCTTTCTCAGACTGTCCTCATAGGGACATCCTTTCATCCTTTGGCATCACCGGGTCATAACTCACAGCAACAGGGCCAGGCTGTATTTTGGCCCAAATGACCCAGGGGCAGCGCAGCCCATCCCAGCCCCACAGAGAAAGGATGACTCCGCAGGGCCAGGGCCGCTCCGAGCCGCAGTAAGGAGAGGTGCCCATAGAACCGCTCCCACATCCCCGGAGCTCCCAGACCCCTCCGTCGGCCCCAGCCCCGGCCCCGCTACCTTCAGGATGTGCTGAGCCGTGTAGAACCCCGCGGGGCCGCTGCCCACCACGCAGATCCTCGGGGCCGGGGTACGCGAGGACAGCCAGCGCCGGAGTCCTGCGGGTAGAAGGGACAGAGCGGCTGAGGCCGGCCGACCCGCGGCTCCCCGCCCCGCCCCGCAGCACGCACCCGCGCGGGCGGGAGCCGCCATCGATCGCCTCGCCGGTGGCGGAGTGCAGCCCGCGGCCGCGTTCTCTGTCCCTCGGTCCCACACACCCGAGGAACCGCTCCGAGGTCGCAGCCGCCCTCCTCCCCACCGCGGCCTTGGCGTTCTCGGAGCCGGCCCCTCGCCCCGCCCCGCCTCGCTCCCTCACAGCGACCACTGAGGCACGTGGCTCCCCGGGCTCCTCCATCGCGCTCCCGGGCCCTGCAGCCCGATGCCACAGCCCCGCTTCCCCCCGCCCTGCGCCCCTCACCGGCCCCGCCGCCCCTCCAGCACGCACCGCCCGGTCCCATCCCGCCTGCCGCCTCCCCGCGACCAATGGCGAGGCGGTACTTAGCATAAACCCGCCCCCGCGGCGCGGACAGCCAATGGAGGCGTGCGGCTGGCCGGAAGGGGCATAGAGAGGAAGGGAGGGAAGGGAAGGGAGGTCTCGGCGCCGTTCTGGCCGGCCCTCTCTATGGGTAAAGCCTCCACGGTACCCCGGGCGGGGCGGGAAGCGCGGTTAGTTTCCACTCTGAATAGCATTTCTTCATTTATTTTCGAGAGAGAGGAGCTGCAAAAGCGTCCAGGAGAAGGAGAGCTCAGAGACGGGTTATTAAACCATCCTCCTGTGCAGTAGAGACCGTGCTACCAAACCCAGAGCACACACAACATCCCTGCAAAGGATGCGGCAGCACAGGGCGGCTCCAGCCCCAAGAGAGCCACCATTTCATCTCCTCATTCCCCCGCACAGGGCAGCAGGAGCCCCAGTGCCCGGCCCACCACCGCGCGCAGAAGATACTTACGGGTTGTACAGCTGCCAAGGCACACAGACAAGCACTAAAAGGGCTTTTTAAAAGCAATTAAGGCCGATTTCACTGCTAGAAGCTAGTTTTAATAAGGGTTGTAAAAGCCACATGCTTTCTCATCTTGGAAATTGGTTCCTGCTGTGGCAGGCAGCTGGCCCTGTGCTTCATTGCATGCTCCTTTCGCACAGTTGCATGGGGAAGAGCAGCTTCCCATAGCTTCAGAGGACATTCGTACCTTCAGCATCATTGTCCCAATCCCTACAGTAACAGCACCCACAAAAAGGGGCAGAAAGCAGGGGTGCTGAGCACAGGGCCAGGAATCTCCTTTGTAAGCAGAAGCTGTGCATCCCCAGCACTGTCCAGGCTGGAGAGCTGCCTTGCAGCCCTCCACATGGGATCCCCACATTAATTGTTCCAGTGACAAAAAGCAGAAATAAAGATCCACTTCAACACCTTGGGCTGAATTTGCCAATTCCATGTTCCCAGAAGAGACAGATTCCCCCATCCCAGCCAGGTAAAGCACGGTGGCAGTAACAACCCCCGCCCCCCCACATCTTTCCACAACCCCTGGCAGCACACGGTGACACAGCGCCACCACCTGCTGCTTCCAACGAGGATGCAGCCGATGGGGCTTTGCTTCACCCTCCCAAGCATGAAAGCAGTGCGGGTAGAACCGAACTCTGTCCATAAGCAGCTCCAGAGGGGCACGACCCCAGCTCAGTCCCTGCACAGCGCCTGCTGCTCAGCACCAGGACACTGGGAGGAATGTTTCCTGCAGCCAGTTGGCCCCAGCTCACTGGATGCCCACCAGCTCTGTGATGGGCGGTGCGTGGACCATCAGCTCCTCATACTTCTGCAGGAAGAGCTGGAGCCTGGAGCCATAGGTGTCCTCATTGTAGGGCAGCCGCTTCTCCTTCAGGTACTGCGACACCACAGGTTTGATCTGTGGAGACAAAGGGACTTTCTGCATTCGCAGGCTGGGCCAGAGCACGGCCCTGCCCAGAGGAGGCAGCCATCCCCAGTGGGGTGCGGGAGGGCACATCAGCTGCAACAGTTTTGCTGTGAAAATTAAGAGGAAGGTGGTATCCAATGGCAGCAATTCAGGGAGTTCCCCTGGCCTTTGTAGAATTAGGATGGATTCTTTAACGAGGCTTTTCATGAGGGTCGGCCCCACATGCTCCCACTTGTGCCTGTGTTTATCCCCGTGCGATGGGGGCGGGAGGGACAAGGGGCCGCTCCTACCCACCCCAGTGTGACATGAACTGCCCAATGCAGCCTCCTCACAATAGCTTCATTCTCATCCATAAATGAGATTGAAAATAAGGTGTTATGGGATGGAGATCCCAGCCTTTGAATCTCCTCCTACCAAGGACAGCATTCCAAATTTTCAGTGCATCCCTTGAGGCAACAAGGATGGGCACAACCAAAACCATTGGAGCCCGGCACAGACCCCAGGTGAAATCATAACAGTTTGCATGGTACCTGAGATGCATCCCACGTGGAGAGGCAGGAGGACCCCTACACCATGCTGAGGCAGGGACTGACTCACCTTGAGACACATGTTGTCAGACAGGCTGGGGAAGAGGTGGTGCTCCACATGGCAGCTGATGAGCGAGTGGCCGAAGCACCAGTCAAGCAGTGCATTGCGGGGCAGGTTGAGCACACCCAGACTCATCTGCTGAATGCGCTTGGGCTTCCGATCGGCTGCAAACATGGGGAGGCCGATGTGCTGCAGGAGAGGCACACTGGGTCGTTCCACCCTCCTATCCGTGAGCCCACAGCACACACAGGCCCTGTGTGTCTACCTGTCTACCACCCTCAGGCCCTGTGCCCCTGCAGAACCCCAAGCTGTTGTGCCAGGCTCCTCCCTCCAGCCCAGGAGCTGCATCGCCATTTGCATCTCCATATGCAAAACACACCAACACCCCAGCTCCACGGGCCACAGAGAGACATCACCCAGCCTTTCCTGCTCCACCACCCTGGCTTTCTCCTTTCCCCCTGCAGTGTTCCCATTACATCAGCACAATGGAGATTACAGCCAGGATTGCTCAACCTGAGCTGATGACAGTCTGCAAGGTCAGGCAGATGCCCAGCACCACTGGGACCTCTTAGAGCTTCATTCCCACCTGGAATATGTTGACGTGGATGTAGGGGTGGGCCAGGAGAGAGCGGGTGAGCAGCATGCAGAGCAGGGCAGACCACGGCGACTGGAAGCCTGAGACGTGGCGCAGCAGGCAGTAATGGCAGCACAGCCCCAGCGACATGAGGCAGACAGTGCGGAGAGCAGCCCTCATCTCCACGTTCCTCAGCAAGTCTGTGCCAGGAAGAGAAAGAACTGGAACGTGGTGGTGGCCCATCCGCTCTTTGTCTCCCTTTCTCCCAAACTTAGTGATGTGGCTTAGCAGGCATGGGTTGGGGTTGGACTTCATGGTCTCAGTGATCTTTTCCAACCTCACGACCGTACGATAACGCTTGTTTTGGGGGTTGGAGGTGTCCCCATGGCAGGACCCCATCCCAGCATTAAGGGAGGTGATGGGACACTCGAGCATTTGGATGCACACTCATCTCCAGTGCCCAGTGGCTGCCTCCACTTCCAGCTTTGCCCAGGGGCAGTGCTCCAATAGTCTGTCAGTAGTTCCTGGGCTCTTCTCCCTCAGTCAGTTCTCGGCACTATTATTTCTTCCAAGTCACTGCTCTGTCTGCTCCCGGTGCCCATCCCACCCCTGTGCACACATCGAACACCACTGACCCACCCACCCAAACCTTGCTATGCCCAGATATCCAAATGAAAGGGAAACAAATCTGGGGCACTTTAAGCTCAGGAGAGCTTTTGTCAGAGCTTTCAGTGCTTGATCAAAGCATTTCTGTGCATCAGCAGAAAGGAGAGGTGTGAGTGAGCTCAGCATGCCCAGCATCCCAGCCCAAGGCACACACCTAGTGCAACCAGGGGGGTTATGATGGGCACGGCGAGCGGCGCGATGAACAAATAGACGTAGCGGTTCAGGAAAGGCAGCTTCCAGGTGCTGGAGTCCCCCAGGCCAATGACATTGGTGTAGCCATGGTGGAGCTTCACATGGTTGTAGCTGGCCTGCTCGGCAGTGAATGCTGAGCAGAACTGGGTGAGAGAGAAAGGTCGAGAGGTAACGGCCTTAAGTTGCACAATGGGAAGTTCAGGTTGGGTATTAGGAGAAATTTCTTCTCGGAGCAGAAACCATCCCCGCCACTCACCCCCTTCCATGGGCAATATTCCCAGTGCTCAGTGGAGAGGTGCTGATGGGTTTTTTTGGGGGCCATCAAATCACACTCACCTCAATGAAGAAGACAGCCCACACTTTGCCCCAGGACCTGGACTCGGTCAGGGCATTGTGGCTGGCCAGGTGGCTGCCCTTCACAGCCAGGGTGTGATATCCCACGCCGAGGGTGAGGACGCCTGCCAGGAAAGGGATGGCGTGGGCTGAACGCAGGCATAGAAATCCTGTGGAAAAAGCCCGGGGCAGGAGCTCAGTCATCACTTCTCCACACACAGCCAGGACTTAGAGGTGTTGCCACACAACAACAACAACTGACTGCTGCCCTAAACTTGTTTTTCAGACATAATTACAGGTATTTGAACTGCCTGAGCCAGTCAGTATCCCTGCACAGTACCCTTTGTGGCTGAGCTCCCAGCTGCGATGGCAGCAGACACGGCTAGGGAGGCACCCAGCTGTTCCCATCCCAGCAAGGGAACCTACACACCCTGACTGCTCAGCTTCAGGAGCAAACCAGAGGAACCCCAGGATGTGTGCAAGAGAGAACAACCCACTGTGAAAACCACGGCGCTCTATATGTTGGATGGACTTGCTGGCAGTTTTGTGCCTACACAGATTTACAGACTCATCTAGGACAGGATATTTCTGGGGACAAAGGCAGTTCTGTGATGATTTCAGTAGTCCCAGGTGTTCAAAAGCAGAATCAGCCCCGTGAGCCCAGCCCAGCTCCCCCTCACCCGCCGTTGCTCAGGGCATCCACACCCAAACCCCGCGGGTTTCCCTGCCCAGCTGCTGGGCACGCACAGCTCCTTCCCACCTCAGTTCCCCTTTGTTACACAGCGCAGGTCTCCAGCGAGGTCAGGATGCCCCAGCACCGGGTAAAGGGTTTACTGCAGTTTTGTTACAGCTTGACAGGCTGCTAATAGGCTTCCGACACAAACTCCCTTGCTCTCAGCATCACCAGTGTGAAAGCAGCGAGAAGGCAGCGGGACCCCTATTGGAGGGGGGGATTCTTACCTGCTGGCAGCGCTAGGAGACTGCAGCTGAGGATGCAGATGTCCACGCCGTGCCTCTCCCACCAGCCGCTGCTCCGCACCACCTCCTGCACTCTCTCTGAGAGCTCGGCCATCAGTGCTTCCCCACTCCCCGCCCGCTGCAGGGCCCCGCACGCCTCTTCTCCCCGTCCAGAGGTCACTTCTCCATCATCCCGCTCCGGCCACAGCTCCTCATCCTCCACCATCTCCTCCGTCCCGCTGACACGGGGAGCCGGCTCGGCCCGGTGCGGGGCGTCCCGCGTCCCCTCG